TGTATCCTCTTAGCCGCATCGACTCTGCATTCTAAAGGTACGCGTCGTGATACACGCAGCTACAAGCAAGCGTCGGCCCTGGCGAGTACCTTTAGAGCATACTTTATGTTAGGTACAAACTAGAATGGTAAAATATGTGGAGTTGCACAGGCAGCTGTGAACCTTTTAGCCTGCCATGGGTGAGACTTCTTGCCGGCATGAGCCTCAACCGCACCGCGTGACCTCGCACGTAAGGTACACACGACACATAACCACGTAGATCCCAGCACGAGCTGCAGTCACATCGCCAGTTCAGATGTTCGGAGCTATTCGTCATCCAAACAGATCGCTTATTCCTATCGCTATTACCCACGTCGCATACAATTCAACAAACTCCACATTCTCTCATTATGGCAATTCCTTTCCGGCCCGCGTCACCTGCCGAGGACCTGCCCCCATACTACCAAGACACAGGCAACGACGATATTCGACAATGTTTCCGTAACTTCGATGTGGACCGAAACTTTGATCTCTTCGACCGGCAAACAAGAGAGCACAGGAGCCGCAATTTCTGTATCGACTTCGGAGAAGACGAAGGTGATGCCTTTTGCGCTTTCGACCTCAACGACAAGGCATACAAGAAGCTGCTGGAATCGCCACGGCCGACTGAGCTACATACACGATGGATCAACATCTGGCAGCCCTACAACCAGAAGGAGCTGATCCAGACGCTAGCCTCTCACTTCGATTTCACGCCACGACTGCTGGGCATGATGACGAGCGATCATATGCCTCCACGTAACAACCCGTCACTGCGCATGAAGAAGAGTTCTTCCACACTGAGATCTGTGTTCTCGCACAAATCACAAACAACGAATATGTCCAACTCGATCAGGGAAAAGGCGAAGCAGGCGAATGAGCAAGCTCTGGATTCAGAGTCTAGTATCGGTCTGACCGAGATGATGCAATCTACACAGCTGGAGCTGGTCCGAGATTTGAGTCACTACCAGCTAGTAGACGATGTCTGGCATTGGAGCACTGTTGACCAGGGTCGGAGGTGTAAGTTCCTCTTTATGTCTAGAGAGATGGGCCATGGGTTGAAGAGCTCCGCTGACAGTAACGCAGACATGTGCATAGGCTACAACTCGCTACACAACGTGCGCAGCAAAGAAACCAACACCCGCCCTATAATCTCGGATAGAACTCGAGACGTGCCCCACGGCAAGCGTGTATGGAACTGGCTTCTCTTATGCGAAGACAAAACCGTCATCTCAATCTCCGAAGACCCATTCCCGTTTGTCAACGGTGCTTTAAACAAAGAGGACGTGAAAGTACTCTTCACCACACGTCGTAATACTGTGAACGTCTTCAGGCAACTTACGAAAGCACCGACGCCGCTAAGAGAGGCAGCGCTCACTCAACTACCCATCCGTCAACGCCTCGGCAGCAGCGATGAGGAAACAGCCCACCGCCCCACGGATGCCCCCGGCTTGCTCTTCTACTACCTCTTCGAAGACTGGGGCGCAACCTTCGATCTCATCTCCCGCCGCGAACACGGCTACGCCGCCGAGCTCGACCGACTCCGACAAGAAATGCTCCAAACAGCCAATCTCACTCACGTCGACCAACTCCACCACATCGGCTGCCAACTCGCCGTCCTAAAGCGCGTCTACCAAAGCTACGAATTAATCATCGAGCGCGTCCTCAAAAAGCAAGAAGCCACCCTCGCGTCACTTAAGAACTCGCACATCCTCTCCGGCAACGCCTCCCTCATCTCCTCCCACCCCGTAATAAACGACTCTCCCGGCCCCCTCGTCCCCGAAGCCGACAGCCTCCTCGGCGTAGCCCTCAGCTCCGCCGCCCGCGTCCGCTTCGAACGCCTCAAAGACCGCATCCAGCTGTACGCCCTCTCCGAAATATCCGAATGCCTTGACCAAAAAGAGTCCCTCGTAATGATGAACTTCAACCTCATCGCCATCAAAGAATCCTTCTCGGTCGAGCGCCTCACCTGGGTTACTTTGCTGCTTGCTAAGATTACCATTTTGTTCACGCCTGTGACGCTGATGACGGGGTATTTTAGCATTCAGTTCAAGGGGCTGGAGTTTGAAGTGGGCAGTTATTGGCAGGCGTTTGGGTGGACTTTTGGGTTGAGTGCTGCGTTGCTTGTGTTGTTTAGTTGGGTTAGTGGGACGTTTGAGGGGAAGATTATTACGAGGAGTTGGACTAGGGCGGTTTATGATGTTGCGCATAGGTGGGTTGTTGGGAGGAGGAAGAGGGGGAAGATGATGTAGAGGAGGGTGGGGGAGGGTGGTGGATGGTGAGTGGTGGATCTATGGGCTGTTAGATCCATAGGATGGAAGGAAACCGAGTTCCACTTTAGAGGCGATTGCTGTTGCTCTTCGTGACCTATCTCAGGGTACAACAAACTGACCAGTCACGAGGTGTCTTCCCGACCATATATAAGAAGCGATCTGCGAGACACTTCTTCTGCACCACACTGCACCGCAACCATGACCTCAACTCAACCCGGAAATATCGTTTTGGAGAACGAGTTGAAGAAAAAGGTCCTCTCTCACGCACGCGCTGTGTTCATCGACCAAGTCCGCCCCGGCACCGTATTCGATGTCGTGACCACTAAGATCGATCTCATTAACGAGGGTCAAAGATACAAAGGCTTTGTCTTACATGTCATCGCGCTGGATGAGTTGTCGCAATCACAGAAATGGCAAGTCGTTATGCGTGCTGACAGGAAGTCTACTGAGAAGGAAGGCTTGGAGGAACTTATGAAGAAGCTGCAAACGAGGCTTTCGGATCTGATAAGTAAGTTATACTGCGGCATTTGAAGGGCATTGTGCTGACGTAGCGTGAATCATGTAGAGCTTAGGCAGCCTGGTTCGGGGGAGTGAGGTGTAGGACATGCGCTCACTATACTGTGTATTGTGCTCTCGAACGGCTACGTGGGTGAACAAGGATGATTGTTTTTCACACGACCCTCTCTTCGAGGTGTTGCGAGACACCGGTCGTACATGCCAGAAATGTCTATCAATACCGGCAGGGCGCTTGCTGCTCACATTATTAAACAAAGACTTTTTACGAACAGTAACGTATATATCTCGTGCCTTGTTCCCACAGAACGCTTAGTACCATAGCTTCAACTGCTTTGCTTCACCCGTCTCCAGGTTTCCTAGTCGACACCACTGTCTCCCCAGCAAAGCACGATCTTATCAACATGACCATGTCTGCGTACGACACCATCTTGTGGGAGAGAGAAATGAAGAAGCAAATCCGAAGTATGCGCCTCAACCCCCAACCCCCAGTCACTCCAAATCTCACATATCATGAATTACTGCTAACACACACTTGCCTCAAAGCTCACGCGCGCGCCCTCTTCAGCACCACCCACCCATACGGCTCAGAGTATGATGTCGTCCACACTTATGACAGAGAAAACGAAGACAATGAAACGCCCTACAACACCCATCTGATCTTATATACGAAGCCGCACAAAAGCGAAGAGTGGGAACGAGTACATTCGGTTGACGGTAATGCTGATGTTGCGGGCGGCTTGACTGATCTCTTGGAGTCGCTAAGGCATGTACTGCGTCAGAAGCTCGATAGGTCGAGGACTGTGCCAGGGACTTCGGAGAGGAATGATGGCGTTGACAACGCTCCAGAGGGTAGCACGGGAAAAGATGCAGATGCTGATGGCCGAGGAAAGAAGAGGCGTCATAGTCGTCGTCGTGACCGTAGTCGTAGTCGTCGTCGTCGTCGTCGTAGTCGTAGTCATGGTCGTGGTCGTAACCGCAGTCCTGATCGTAGTCGTAGTCGCTGATGAATGTCCGTTTGCGAGCCGTGCAATAGACATCTTTTCTGAGATGACCATGGCTTGATGGCGACATTGGTGTTGGACTTTTGAGTGTTTGTTACTACCAAATGTGGACTAGCTGAGTACACGGGCGCGGAGGTGAAGGTTAATCCGAAGTCGCACTTTGAACAGTATCTAGACGAGGAACTTTTCGAACATCCTAATACCCTGTCTTTCACCTCACCTCATACAAGCGATTATCAGCGATGGCTCAGTCCGCGACCGCAAAGGTTAACCCCATGAACCAGTACGAGACCATTATGTGGGAAACGGAGATCAAGGAACGAATCTTGTGTATGCATTCATAATTTACTATTTACGCTGTGTAATTACTAAATCAATACCCATCTTACAGCTCATGCGCGCGCCCTTATGGAGAAAGCCATCCCCAAGGCACCGTCTTCGACGTTGTTCACGCTATTCCTACTACTACTCCAAATGATTCGACGTTGCTGAAGAGTATGTCGCGCGACATCCACCTGATCATCTGGTAATCGCAGGGAGAACGTCCCAGTTGTAAGGTTCTTGATCCTATCAAAGACTGCGCTACTGCTGCGGTCGGATTAAACGATTTGTTGACAGCGCTGCAAATGCGCTTGTCACATCGCGTCAGTAAGTCACTTTACCAATGAGTTCAAGATCCGAAAAAACAACTTACACTTTCCTTCAACAGTTGCGAAGACTCAAGCGTAGAAAACCGTGCCGGTCATGATGGAGCGAGAGACGGCGGAGTCGGAGTAACGTCTGGGACTCTGATAACATTGGCCTGTTGGTAGCATTGGCTGTACCAGTACGATGATCTTCGCATCAGGCGTTCCAGAGTGGGGAGATTGAAGTTATCAGGACTGAGATGGGTCATTGTCGTCGTAGACTACTGGGAGCTACGAATTGGGCTTTGCGATTAGTCCACAAGGTCTCCGCGGTACATAGCAGCATACGATACATATTATCCAAGTTGTCCTCATCACAAGCCGGAGTAAGTCTGAGTAAATTTCACTTTTGCAAATGCGGATTGCCCTCAACGGAAAGTGAAGGTGAAGGTGAGATCGAAAATTTTCGTCTCCGCGCACAAAGGATTTCTAACGCAGCTTTGAACTTTTGCCTTCTGCTTCCCACTATCTCCACCCACATCTCGAGAACCTATCCGACGACGACGATGGCCTCCATCTACGACAAGCTGGCTCAAGCCAAGTACGAAGAGAAGCTTAAGGCTACCATCCTCGGTGAGTTGATTGGTTCATTATGCTACTTCACGTCTGACATATCAACAGCCCTTGCGAAAAGCGTCTACGGCCAGAATGAACCCGCGGACGTAACGTTTGACGTTACGACTGGCTTCGAGTTTGACTCTGACTCTGACGAGAAGACCGACATGGTCGCCTGGGTCATCTACTACCCCCAGACAGATGACGAAAAACTAGACTGGGAGGCTCTCCTACAATCGAAGCGATGCTCGAGCATAGAGGATACCTACCAGTCGCTCATTCAAGCCCTACGCGTCAAGATGGCTGATTTGATGGGTTAGTTATTTCGTTCGAAAACGAGATTTGATGTAAGAATACGACTTACTGACTATATGCAGCGGTTAGAGACTCGCCTTTTATGGGATTGGCGGATGATTTGTGCACCGACTGGTCAGATTACGGAGGCCGCTGCCACAAGTTGCTACATCGCTTACGAGGACTCACCAAGAGTGCGCCTTCCTATGAGGGTGCACTGCAGGTGAACTGATGAGCATAGCAGGGAAGGCGGGAAATAGCCCATGTCACCCAGTGCGACATCGGTTCCATACCAACACTGCTTGAGCTACTAGATAGCATTCAAGCCCATAGAATGAAGCAATGATCTTCAACTCTTCAAGATGTCGCTCGCGTGAACGTCTTATCGTAACAACATATTCCCAATCCCAGCTTTCCACACTGTTGCCGTCCTCAGTATTCTCAATCCACCTTATACAAAGAAAGATTTACTAAGGTCTGCAGCCTACATTCAGATGAAAATATACAAAGTAGATGATCTGACGTTAATGTAGGCTCTAGAGTGTTCAATTTTCCTCTTGAATAACGCGAAGGCATCACAAAGAAATACTGGGTCGAAGACGCGGCTTTCGTGGCGCGCTTTGGTACACCCACTGTGGCGAAGTCCGCAAGAGCCGCGAATACGAGAAGAGAGAGAATACGAGAAAGAGAGGTAACACGAAAAACGAAAGTCGAGCAAATCTTAACGAGGTATAAAGATGTCGATACCGTACGCATTTCAAGTCATCTCATCAAACCATTGTTCGTTCCTTCCGTCGATTCATCTTCAAAATGTTGCGATACCTCACCCTCGCATCACCCGCTCTCGCAAGCGCAGCAGCAACACCACCATTCTGTCGCACAACCCCCTCCGACGCATCATGGCCCACACCCCCAGAATGGTCATCTCTCAACGACACAATCAGCGGATCCCTAATCCGCACCGTCCCCGTCGCGTCATCATGCTGGCCCTCCACCAACAACACCTTCACCTCCCCTCTCTCCTGCCAAGAAGTCAATGACAACTGGTCGAACGGGACCTGGCATTCGCAACAGCCAGAGTCCATCGACTACCAGCTCTATGCGAATAACTCTTGTTTGCCAGATGAAGTGGGGAGTTGGTCGGAGAAACAGGGTTGTACGATTGGGGGGTTGCCGCAGTATATTGTTAATGCGACGGAGGAGGTTGACGTGGCGACTGCGATGAAGTGGGCTGCGGATCGTAATGTGAGGATTGTGGTTAAGGGGACGGGTCATGATCTCAACGGCCGGTGAGTCCTCAGTTCTCAAAGATGACTTAGGGATGGAAAGCTGACATTACCTCCATAGATCAAGCGGCGCCTTCTCCCTCTCAATCTGGACGCGCAACTTCCGCCACCTAACTCGCGACACAGCCTGGCATGTCGCCAACAGCTCTTCCCCACCCGAAGACGTCTTCATCGTCGGTAGCGGCCAGCAATGGGGTCACGTCCTCTCCTTCGCGACAAGTCAAGGCCGGGTTGTGACGACAGGCCAAGACCCCAGTGTCGGTTTAGGCGGATATATCCAAGGCGGTGGTCATGGCCCATTGGCTTCCACCTACGGTCTGGCATCGAGCCAAGTTCTACAGATGACAGTCGTGACTACCACGGGACATGTGCTTGTCGCCAACGAAGTCCAGAACCAGGATCTCTTCTGGGCACTGCGTGGCGGTGGTGCAGGACAATATGGCGTCGTCACTGAATACGTGATCAAGCACTACCCAGCTCCCCGTAACGTCGTCATGGCGAGTGTTCAGATCAAGCCGAAAGGTAGCTCGGACGCCAGTATGGAAGCGTCGTGGTCGGCAGTAGCCAGTTGGCTCAGTGCGCTACCTGATCTCATGGACGCCGGTCTCGCAGGCGCTGCAACGGTGGCAGTGGGGAGTACGGCACCAAAGTTCTTCCCTGATATCGATGTTTCGAGCGGTGCATTCACTGGTATCGGTCTCAACCAAGTCTTCTGGGCGTTCAACACCACGCCCGCGGCTGTCGAAGCGCTCGTCCAACCCATCTTGACAAACCTCCTCCTTCAGTCCAACACCAATACAAGCACCACCGGCAACGACAGCTCTCTCGTCTCAACTTCAATGTCGACATCAACTCACAGCAACTACCCCTCCTTCTTCACCACCATATCCGGCGACAACGTCGCCGGCGGCGAATCCCTCACCTCATCCCGTCTCCTCGGCCGCGCCGAACTCACCCACACTCCCCACTCCCAAATCATCTCCTACCTGAAAACCGCCATGGCAAGTCAAAACACCACAGACCCAGGAAACTACGCCACCATCGGCCTCTCAGGCGGTCCCGGCGTGCACTCCACGCCCTCCAAACACTGGGGCGCCTTACACACCAGCTGGCGCACCGCGTATCTACATTTCATCGCCACGGGCGCTATGGTTGATTCGCGTGCCGCGGGGAGTGCGAAGCGTGCGTTGAGCATTGGTTCTGAATGGCACAAGGCTGTTAAGGAGCCCATGTGGGAGGAGTGGGCGCCGGGGTCGGGGGCGTATATGAACGAGGCGAATCCGTATGTTGAGGGTTTCCAGAAGGTGTTTTACGGGGATGGGTATGAGAGGTTAGTGGAGGTGAAGAGGAAGTACGATCCGAGTGGGAGTTTGTTTGTGTTGGCGGGGGTGGGGACACAGGGGTGGGAGTATGATCTTGATAGTGGGAGGTTGTGTAGGGTTTAGAAAGCGGTGGTTGGTGGGGTTGTGGAGTGTTGTGAAGTTGGTAGATTGTATGCGCTCTAGATGCGATGTCGAATATGTAGTGCACGCTGGTTCCTTCATGGCCAGTGACAATATAGCACGTCCATGTGGCACCGTTGATGGTTTCCGGCTTTCACGTCTTGTGTTACGCGTCTGAAGGAAGATGGTGGGTCATGGTTGACATTACAGTGGGGCATATCCCTACAAGGCGGTCTGTGACAGGAGGTCAGCTATCGTGGGAAGAAGCAACACGGTTTGGTGGAGGCGCGGTTCTCAGAGAGATACATAATTTCGTGAAATGTGACTAAATTAATCGTGTCAATTGGGTACTGCAGATAGCTCATCATGCTACGACCCCATTTTCCCTTCTGCCGCTCCCATCCTAGTATGAGCCAGTTTGATATGGCGCCCGGCGTCCTTTTTTAGCCCGTAAGGGAGTCTCGTGTATCGAGCTCGTGTGTCGTACGTGATTCGTTTACTGGCCGACCTTCTTGGTCTCCTCCTGCAGCTCCTTGATTTGCTGCTTGGTGTCCTTGCCAGTCTCGGAACGATCCGCCTTGACCTATACTCTCCGTTAGCCAATGCCCTCATAACGATGTTCTTCCGTCTTCCTGATAGGGTAGATCCAACTTACAGCGCTCTCGCTGTCACTGGCAAGCTGCTCCTCCCAGTGTTGCTTGCCGTCCTTCTTCTTGTTGAGCTGTTCCTGCTTCTTTTTCTCGACCTCCTCGGCGCGGTTCTCGGAGTCTGTTCGCTCATGTCAGCTCAATGCCTTCTCTCAGTGTAATATTGGCACGCGTTCAATGCTGCGATTGCTGGCGCTAGGCCGAGGTTGGCGGTGCGGACGTACGGAGAGCCGACTCCTTGCCAGCGGTGCGGGCTATTGACTGCGAGAAAGCGGCACGCTGGGCAAAGGCAAAGGGAGCGCGACGGGTCGCGAAGGCACGGATAGCGGACATGGCTGGTTTCGGGGGTGTTTATGTGGAGGGAAGTTTGCGGGGTTTCGGCGGTATAGCTCGGGGCTTCTGGCTTTGGGTATGTTTCGGTGTGTTCGTGTAGCTTGACAGGAGGAAGGAAGGTCAATTGAGTCGATGGAGTATCTCAGTGGTATTGAAAAGAGCTTGCAAACTTGGCAGATGGACGCTTCAGAAGGAAAGGTTGGTATGCTGGAGAAAACACACGTTCCTCGGTTAGTGGACGTGACTAGCTCCAGCACACGACGTCATACTTTCCCCGGCCGGCAATCACCATTACGAACATTGGCCGATTCCTGTCAGCCACTCGACGGAGCCTCATTAGTCATGCCTTTGCGACAACTAACTCAGGTCTAGATCTGCAGAGGCTCTTGTGGATATGCAGGCCGCCCAATTCCAGCATAACGTACCAGTAGCCATTTGAAACTTGTGGTGTCAGCTGCTCAGATGCCACCTGGCACAAAACAAAGCATCGGTTACGCATCAGCTCCTGCTCTTGGCCATCGCGTCGCTGACCCCAGTTTCTGCCCGTTCGTCTTGTCACTCGTGCCTGGGTATGCCAACGCGACGATGGAGATGCACAGACCAAGACACGCGAAATCAATGGACCCACTTACACGTCGCAATTGCCATGATAGACGTCGACTTCGATTGCGGTGTCGAACCCCAGGCCTAGCGAGTTGCTGTGGTCGACCGCAGTGTTAGAAAGACGGATAGCAACTCCTTGCCACTCGACGAAAAGCGCGTGAAACCTCACCGGAGTTGCTCAGACGAACGTCGTGTCCATGCCCCAAAGCATGACAAACATCGCAACGAGTAGCGAACCCAGCTGGTTATTCGCGTTGGTCAGAAAGCGATAAGCCACGACAGGAGAACAGGATGGGGACGCCCACAGGCAGACTGAAATCTGCGGTTGGCCAGGGTAATCCAATTTGGTTTGTCATGTGAGAACCATATCCGAGGATGCGGATGATGGAGATCGTTTGACCGATACGAACTTTTGCGATGTGGCTAGGAAATAGAAGACCTGAACTGAGCAACGGTTCATTGAGAAGATAAAGACAACAAACCATAGGCATACAGCTGGAAAGTACACATGTATGTGACGAACATAATTTCTTCGAGGAGTGACGTCTTTACAGTCAACGCTGAGCTCTTGGAACCCTTCTTCTTGTTCTTTACATCTTGCGATGAATTCTCATCTTCATTGCTGCTGCTGGGGGTTTTGCGGCGCTGTGTAAGAGGAGGTGTGTTTGTGGCTGTCGCTGATGATCGCGTAGACAGTGAGTGCGGCGACAGTGCA